GTACAAATCTTGATTTAATGAAAAATGCCTGAATCAAAAAAATATTTTACCCTGTTCCTTGAAAATAATAAAACAAATTAAACATTTGTTCCATACATTTATTGATTAGAAATTATTTCTATATTATTCGTAGTTTCTATAAATCTTTAAGATTATTAAAATGAAAAATATTTTTGTAGGCAAGACAGATATTACAGCTGTTCAAAGAATGAGATTATATCGCCAGCGAAAAAGTAAAAAAAAATACTAGCAGTCAATGAATGTATTTTAATTTTAATTACACGAATATCTTCAAACACAATTATTACATGATGAGTGAAGTTGCGAAAACAATATTTGTTTAGGCGTTGTTTAACATAATCCACTGTGTGAACAAATATTAGAGAATTTATTAATCAGCAAATACTTCATTTCTCTAATGAAGGTTCAGTTCTAAATGCTAATTACAATGACAAACCGATCATGTCATATTTGAAGTATGACTTTAATTACATTATTGCTTTTAAATATTATACATATGTTTAATGCGATTATCAATATATAATTTATAATTTATCATTAAATAAATGTATATAATTGTTGACACTAATAAATGTATGCATCACGAGTGTTACCATATTACAAATAAACATTATTCAAAATTGTTATATGATGCATTTATTTTTACTTAAATGCCATCTTGTACAGTAGCAAATAAGTTTTACTTCAATCGCGTGTGAACCTTACGCGCACTCTTTTTTTCCAATGTGTAAAGTATAGAAGCAATTTAAGAAATAAATCAAGTAGATGATGTTGACCTTCAAACAAACTTATAATATCTATCATTGGGTTAATTATTAACTTCTCGTGGGGTAAGTTATAGTAATCGCCCAAAAATCATTTTTTTGTAAATATTTACGTTTCAAAGGTTTCTGAACATTTTGGCATTACTTTAGAAAAAAATGGATGTGTGGGTGTGTATGTATATATAGATACAATTTTTTGTATTTCAAGCCCTTTCGGAGATACAAAGCAAAGACTGCAAATAATAGAAATTAAGTTTTAGAACAAACAGAGTATCCGAATTGAATTATTTAAAAAACATTCAATTTGTAATGATGGTGAGACGTGATGATTAGTTTTAGGCAAAGATAGATAGAGCCGTTTTAAAGGTACGAAGCTAAAAGTGCAAAAATAGCAGTTTTTGAGGAAAAGAAGATAGTATATATATGATGAATGTATAAGAAATATATGTAAGAATTGTATAGAATATGATGGAAAATAATATTAATAATGTAGGTGGCTAAAAATGCTTTAAAGCGGAGACCAATAAAATTAAAAAAAAGACACATCTTTACTAACCATAAGATAATTTTGTATATAACCTTGATCTGGTATTTCGTCAGAAATATTTTCGACCAGAGTCGGAATAACTATCTGCTTAACGTTTTTTCAACTTAATTTACTTTATTTACTTCAAACGTGAAGATGTTCTGAAAAATATATTTTAAGTTTCATAAAAAATCATGATCATACCACAAACAAAAATTCTGTGATCATCACAATAATAATAAACGATGTTTATACTGGCTCTCCTCTTTCCCAAGTGTGCGGTTACCTTTTTGACACAATCACATCTTAAAAGCCAATTATTGGCTTTGAATTTACCACTAAATGCAATGAAATGCATCAAACCCACACCGACTGCCAATAGATCGAGGATCGAATGTGTATGTCCGTGTTAATGGAATAACTGTTAACAGATCTGAAGATCTTGGGAGTTTAGTTCCTAGAATCGTTTTATCCGAACATTGACACAAATATTGTGCACCTTATAGACGGAGAGTCGATGGGGAAGGTAAAATGGTAAATTGGTGGATTAAAGTGAAAAACTCGAGGAAAGGACTGGATGAGCAAATTGCGCTCTATCTAAAAGTTAATATTAAGAGCTGAAACTTTCAGAGAATTGTTTTTTATCAATTTGGAACAATTCGATAAAAAAAAAAACAAGTTCATATTAAGGACCATCCTAATGGTGCTATATGTTATGACTATCAAACTATGGTCAGTTAAATAATTTTTTTTAACTGCTAATTATAGAAATGTGTTTTTACTATTTGTCTAAAATTTGTTTTCTGTCTCTTTTTTCCCCATGGTCGGGGTAAGAAGGGACGGCCAGAGGGCAAACTGATCAAACGTCTTGTTTTTAATTTTAAAGAGATTTTACTAAGAGATTTTTGAGAATTTAGCTACATTATTTAACCAATGTAAAATACAAATTTTATCGGTACATTTTTTACAAAGATTTTTTTCTATATGAAAAAAGTGCCAAAAATATTAATACAATTTTCGAGAGAACGGAGCGTCCGATTTCAAAAATTCAAAAATCATTTTATTGGTATTGACAAAATGCAAAAATGAATAAATTTTTGGAAAGGCAGGTCTAGCGGTTTCAGAGATCGAGTAGATACATTTAAAAATATGCCATTTGGTGGCCAAAAATGATAATTAGACATTAGCACATCAAATTCTCAGTTATTCTATAGAGATTTTATTAATAAGTAAAAATTTTGAATACATTTCTATGATTTCAGTTCCAATGTTTACCCATTAGACTGCGACGCAGCGCTTATGCGCTTCGATATTTCTCCTCTAAAGCAGCCACGCAGCACAATGGCTTTAGAAAAAAGTTCAAAATTTTCAAAAAAATTCGAGATAAAAAAAATCAAAATTGTTTTCATGTTTTCAAAAATTTTAAAATTTTCAAAAATCTCATTGTTTTCAAACATTTTTAAGGTTTTTTTAAAAAAATAAGTTTTTCGTATGGAAAGCTACAGCAGTTTGCCTTAAAGCACGACTAGTTGATATATTAATATATTAATTGTGGACCATTTTACCCATGGTTTTACCTTCAAGCCCCGCCTACCCTAATTTTGCTCTTAAACGTCATAGACTTTTGCAGAAACTTATGCCAAAAATATGATTTTTAACTCTTTCATACTAATTTTGTTAGCTATACCACTTTTGATGAAAAATACACTTTGGAAATTTTGAACTTTAACTTCGACTTTGACCAAGTTTCTTATACCACGGTGCGCTCACCGCGTTATCAGAGATTTGACTAAATATGATAATTCCAAGTAATTAGCAAAATTATTCATCTGCATCCCATTATTTGAGTCAGTGGGTTGAACCAAAGGCTAATGTCCTATATTTCTTACGAACCCCCTTCGAGTGTAAGAATGTACTAATTACCCAGCTCCATGTCTATTATATAAGAAAAGCTATTAACAATAGTAAGTAATAGTTAATGCCGGTAATAATTCTTATGCTAAAATCTCATAACGCAGCAGTCATAGGTAGAAATGTGCCTGTATGGAAGTGCCGCATATGCAAATTTCATGTCTACATATGCCAAATCACGTACATACACATTTATACGAATGCCATTGTAATGTTTATAAATACTTGAATGAAAGAAGAAAGCTTCTGTCTTTGGGTTAATTTATAATAGAAACGTGAATGATTAAAACAGAAGCAGCAGGTTGTTCATTTGTTGCAAAAGTATTTTTCAAACAGTATTCTGGTATAAAACTGTCTATGAACCATGCATTTAATAAAACTTTTCAATCAACAGTTTCCATTTTTAAGCAGAAGTTCATGTTTTTGTCAAAAAATCTGAAATATTAATTTTATGCTTCAAGTCATTCTAAATCGTTTGAAGCCAAGAGTGAAAAAAACAGTGTGTGAGATAAAATTTATTATTTTGTCGTCGCTTTACCTAAAATTGGTGCACAACTTTCACAAATTCAGAAGACGATCAATGAAACTTGATAAGGACGTTAATTTTAATGACGGTCGGCCGAGTCGTTTCTTCATAATTAGCAGATAATTGCAAAAATTTGTTGTACTTTTGCTGTTTAAAAATACTGAAACTGTTCGAAACATATCAATTGGGAATTGTGTTGATTAGTTTTTATTGAAGATCGGTCAGTTCCTTTCTTCGTGGTTATTAGTCGATTTTTATGATTTTAATGAATTCTAATAAAATTTAAACTAGCATTCAAAAATATTATATTATTCAAAATTTATTAAAATTTGTAATTCTTAAAAGTTGAAAATTGATGTAATAGCAAAGCGGTCGTGTTTCCAGTATTCAATAAAATTGTTATGAAACTTGTCTTTTTAGTATTAAAGTTTTAACTGAAAAAATCAAAATAAATTGTTGAATGTTGTTTAAATAATTATATATCTAATATCCAGTTAAATTTTATACTTGTATATTTTGTTCTAATTTCATTTATTCAAATTAATTAGGTTTACATTTTCTGTATTCTATATTTATCTAGAATTAAAACCAGGAGTAAATTTACGTGCTACAGTTAGTGGCGCCTCTATGGAGTGGGAAAACGATTAAAATTGAAGTAATAGCAAAGCGTTCGTGTTTACGATATATTAAAAAGTTGACAAATCTCAATTCCTATTAAGTGGATTTTTACGCATATCAGCAAGTTTATGCAATTTGTCTGAAGGCAAAATGCCACTTACAACAAGCAATTTCCCGTAGGACAAGTTATAGTAATCACAAAAATTCGAAAATGAAAATTTTTGCATATCTTTACGTTTCAAAGGTTTCTGAATATTTTGGCATACCTTATAAAAAATAAATTAATGTTTATATGTATGTATGTGCGGATACAATTTTTTGTCCACGATTTCTAGAGCATTGATAAACCGATTTGAATGATTCAAAAAACATTCGATTCCTATTGATGGGGAGACTTGCTGATTAGTCATACAATGACAGGTCCTGCTGTTTTCGAGATAACAATGCAAAGAGTGCAAACATTTTGAGAGAACCGAGCATCCGATTCAACAACTTTTTTTGTATTGACGGAGTGAGAAATTGATTACATTTTTGCGAAAGCATGTCTAGCAGTTTTGGGGTTGTAGAAAAAAAGTTTGAAAATTGACATTTGATAGTTTGAAATGATCATTACAGATTATTATTTTTGATCCATATGCATGTGGAAATATTGACACCAGGTAAAATCAAAGGTAAAGGACCAGATATAGGTAAAGGTAAAAGAACAGGAGAAGGAGAAGAAAAAGGAGGAGCAGAAGGAGGAGAAGGAGAAAGATAAAGAGAAAGAGAAAGAGAAGAAGAAGAAGAAGAAGAAGAAGAAGAAGGAAATGAAGAAGATGAAGTAGAAGACAAAAAAGGAAATGAAGAAGATGAAGTAGAAGACAAAGAAGGGGAAGAAGAAAATGAAGCAGAAAACAATGAAAGAAAAAAAGATGAAGAAGAAGACAAAGAAGAAAAAAAGATGAAGAAGAAGACAAAGAAGAAGAAGAAAAAGATGAAGAAGACAAAGAAAGAAAAGAGGAAGATGAAGAAGAAGAAGAAGAAGACAAAGAAGGAAAAGAAGAAGATGAAGAAGAAGAAGAAGAAGGATGATAATAAGGAAAATGTTGCAATAGTTCCGAAACAAACTAAATCACAACAGACCCTACTGGCCTACTGGGAAAGCCACGTAAAAAAACGAGCTAAGTACACTACCTCGTAGGTCGCGTTTAAACGGTGGCTCTGAAGAAAAAAGTTTTGATACATTTATTGTAGATAATTTTATGTTCTACCATTTTGTCTAAGGTAATATTGCGATAAAACTGATTATTTACTTGAAAATCGCAAAAAAATCATTTATTTTTACCTTTGAGCATATGCCAATTTTTTGCTCGCACCAGAATGATGAGGACTTTTGAGTTTTATTCATAATTGTATTTTACCAAGTTACAGCCCATTATAAATTATTGTAACTTTCACCCTGATTTTAGGTTTCTATTGACCGGGCTATATTGTTTAAGTCCATTAGTTTTCTTATATCGAAAAGTTTCTGCAATTTGCATTAAAACAAAAGGCACTTATATGTAGTTGACATTTATATTTCTTCCAAATAACACTATTTGATATAGCAAAATCCTTTACACCATCATTTTCATTTCACAAGCGTGTACAACATTGAAGAGCCAGTCAATTCCTTTTTTGTCCGTTTATTTACTGATTATTTCACGTTATTTGCATCGTGAGAAATCTAGTATCATCAGAGGCATAGAGCACACGATTCAATATCAATATCACCATCAAATTACTATCATTACATTTATTTGCGTTATGATTGCACATTGATTTTTCTTCAGCCTACATTTACGTGACTACTGTGCCACCGCAGAGGAGTAATCGAGTTGCACCGCAAACTCGAATCACACATATATAATATAGGCGGAGAACTTTTATTAGACGCGCACGGTATGGATTTATTATTATTTTGTTAGCGGTTTTTGTCAGAGACCGAAGGCAAGCCCATGGAGAGAGAGAAGAGTCCTCTTTTGTTGATGGGTCACTTTTTACTACTCAAACTTCTGTTCCGTTATTCTGTGGACTCAACTTCCAAATCCTTGCATAGTGCAACTACTATTAAGTATTCTTTTTATATATTATTAATAACTTCCCGTAGGGTAAGTTATAGTAATCGCAAAAAAATCTAAAACAATTTTTTTTATATATCTTTACGTTTCAGAGGTTTCTGAACATTTTGGCATACCTTAGAAAAGTGGATGCATGTATGCGTGTGTGTGTTTTCATTGACGATTTCAGGAAAACGAATCAACCGATTTGAATGATTAAAAAAAACATCAGATTTCTGTTGATAAGAAGACGATTAGCTTTTGGCAAAAGCAGGTCCAGCTGTTTCGAAGATACGGGACAAAAGGTGTCAAAAACGGTAATTTAGTTTTTAACAACCAAATATCCTTTTTTTACTTTTTCCTTTGTATCTCCAAAACCGCCGGATTTGCCTACCCAAAAATTTAATCAACTCTTCATTTTGTCAATAAGTAAAATATTTTGAATTATTAAAATCGGACGCTCCGTTCTCTTAAAATGATCCTTAGATATCAATAATAATGACCTGCAATTAGCATTAAAACCAACAAATGCCAATTTTTTAACATATTTTTTGCAACTCTGCCCAACTCAAAAATCTAATCAATTTTTCACCCCGTCAATACAAAAAAAGTAGTTTGAATCATTCAAATCGGATGCTCCGTTCTCTCAAAAACTGCAGTTTTTTTTGCACTCTTTGCTTTATTATCTCCAAAACAGCACGATATGCCTGCATAACAAATCAGCATATCTATCCATCAAAGAGAACCAAATGTTTTTGAATCATTTAAATCGGTTTATCCGTGCTCTCTAAATCCTAGACGAAAAATTGTATCCGCACACACACACATATATAAACACATATATACAATATCAATTTTTTCTAAGGTATGCCAAAATCTTCAGAAATTCTTATACAGATTCGATTTCTAATTCAGTTTTTGAGGAAACGGAGTGTCTGATTTCAATGATTAAAAAAATATTTTTCTTGTATTGACAAAATGAAGAAATGATTGAATTTTTGGGTAGGCAGGTCCAGCGATTTTGGAGATACAGAGGAAAAAGTAAAAAAAAAGATATTTGGCGGTCAAAAATGATCATTAGACATATGCACATCAAATTATCAGATATTTTATAGAGATTTTCAAAATGAGTACTAATTTTGTTTCAATTTTTTGGGTTCCTTACCAAATTTTGAATTTTTAAAGTTTACTTATACGGTTCAAACAAATTTCAATATTTTCAGATTTTTTATATAATTTTTCAAAATATTTATTTCATATGTGTTATTATACAAATTATAAGAAATATATCCTCAGATGGATTTAGTCGACATCTCTTGTTAATATAAACATTTTTAAGTGTGGAGCGATAAGATCCTCACTAAACATTATATGAACGATAGAATATATAGTAATTACAATTATCTATTTGAACATGTTTAAAACAATTGTTATTAATCATTCATCAATATTTATTGATTATTGTTTTTTTCCTCGAATATTTAATTGTGGTACAGGAAGTTCCGGCAATTTGCTTTAAGGCACGATGCCAAGCACCACTAGTTTGAATTTTTAATTAGAAATTAATACCATCATTGACACCAGTCGTGCGTAAGCGGTTATCAAAGGCAGAAGCATAATTATATATATATATATATATATATATATATATAGATATATAAATCTACTACTATATATAGATTTATATACAATATAATACTGAGCTGCAAGCGAGCGTGAAAATAGGCCTTTTCAATTAATGTCAATTAGAAAAACGGCTGACTAATAAATTGTATTGCTACTTATTGTTCTAACGCAACGAACGCCTACATTTAATGTATATAATATATATATATATATATATATATATATATATATACCAGCTGGCCCGGCAAACGTTGCTTAGTCATAAAAGAATATTCCTACAAAAATTTTAGTATAACAAATAACTAATTGATTTCGAATGTAGAAGTATGTAGTATATAAGTGAATGGCCCAACTAACACAAATGAAATTGACAATTTACCCACTGCAACGCTTGCCACATATAAATGCTCCTGGGGTATACTAATGGTAATTGCAAGTGTTAGATTTATCTGAAATCGATTTCTTAAGTAAATTGAATTGCCATTTCGATATTGGAGGTTTAGGTATAATGTTGTTGTTTATTAATTCTTCAATTTTTTAATTAGGAACAAAAACCCTAACATTTGAATTTGAATTTCGTTACGAGGCTTGTCGTAAGAGGGTGAAAATTTAGGGCTGAATGTGAGCATTATATATAATTTTCTTTATGTTTTTTTTTTCATATTTAGCAAATAACAACTAATATTAATAGTACTAGCTGTTCGTTATACCTTTTATTTTATTCTATATTCATTTTTTTATTTTATTTCTAAATTTGTTATTTTTTTACAAATACAGGATCCAAAATATCATAGACTTACAAAAAGTGATTTAATTATAAATTTTTATTTTTGTTGCTAAGTTAAGTTCCTAATAAATTGCATAATTTTAAAAGTTGATAAATTTCAATTTTTGTTGATTTACATTCATGGTAGGGCGGGGCAGAAAGGTCCAATTTGTCATTGAGCAATTATATTGTGAAAACTAACTACTACTTGACTATGATCAGTAAAACTTTCATCATTGTAGAAATTTATTTTATTTTGTTCATTTGTTTATTTGCTGTTTTCCAAAAATTTGTCAGCTGGTCCTTTTTACCCTATAGGTGAGGTAAATTGAGACGGCCGTAGGTTATAGATCCAATGTCTTATTTTTAATTTTAAATGGATTTTACAAAATAATAGCTACATTATTCAATCAATGCAAAGTATCAATTTCTTGAGTACATTTTTTACAGATGTATACAACCTTGATCTGGTATTTTGTCGGGAATATCCATCAGCAGATTGAACTATTAATTTAATTTATTTCTCGTAAAATTACTTCTTCTAACTGAAAGTACATTTTTATTTACTATTTACGCCTTTTCCAGGGTAAAGGTCCAGTTGGTCCTTTTTATTTCATCCAGGTGTAAACTTTTATAAAGGTTATATAAAAAGAACTGTTGAATCTAACTTAAAATTAACAATGCATCTTATAAAACAATTAAAAAACGTATACTTAAAAATTATATTATTAAGGTTTCGTAAACTAAACAACAGTGCTCACAAACAAAAAACTAACAACAAAATAAAATACTTTTGTTATGGATTTTCAAACATTGCCGTTTATGTCGGAATAGCAACGTTGTAAAAATCAAGGTGATGGCTGGTTTTACAGCTTTTTTCTTCTACTTTCAAATATTGTTGTTAGAAAATTACTAACTTCACTTGTTTTTGAGATATCGGTGGTAAACCTTTCTACTCGCGGACCTTTGAGTCCCACCTTACCCTAACAGGAATTTCATGCAACTTGCCTCAAGGCAATATGCTTTTTACACCCAGTTAAGTTTATACATATATTATGTCTTATTAAAACGAATTGTTTTTACAAGGTTGTCGTGCGTAAGATCCGGATGCAATAATTTAGTATTTGCAAAGGCGGTTTTAAATTAAGAGATTTGAAAGATAGCTTGGTAAGTGTTCGAAAACCTGTTGAAAAGTATGTATTCGCCTTGACACAATTTTCGGAACGTAAAAGAAAGAACAATTTCTGTGATACAGTTATTGACATTCAAATCATTTGTGTACAAATATACTTTCAATGATTTTTTTTACCTTGACTTCCTATAATAATTTAAAATCAAGTGCAAGAATCGATAAAATTATATTTTGATCCAAAATGATGTACTCAGGCAAATATAAGGAAAAAATAGTTTGTTTGAAATAGATGTATGCGCCCCTCTGAGGGCTAATTAGCTGCATCATTGTAGAAATGTGTTTTTTGCTGTTGTTGAAAAATTTGTTATCTGGCCCTTTTTACCCCATAGGCGAGGTAAAATGGGACGGCCTGGTGGCAAACAGATCTAATGTCTTATTTTTAATTTTAAAGGGCTTTTAACGAAATAATAGCTACATTATTCAACCCATGCAAGATAACACTGTAAATAACCTTGATCTGGCATTTTGTCAGAAATATTCATCAGCAGAGTTGAAGTAACTAATAATTTAATTTATCT